ACAGATTTTTAAAACCAACCAGAAATGTTAATCTGAGATTTGCTTTGAATTAAAAAAAATATTCATTTTCTTGTTATTTTAAGAACAATTTACTTCATTAATACATATTTAAATGTAAAAATACTTCTATTCTATTATATCATCAGCTCATGTACCCACCCCATTTTGCATTCTAAGTCATTTTAAAATCACTGTGGCAATTAAAATCTATAAATCTGTAAATTGTTTACAATCACATATTTAATGTGCAAGGTCTTCGCCTATACCATTTCCCCTTTTTCCTCAACAATTGAGGTAACACTAGGACACAGTTGCCTAGCAAGGAACAGCATTCCTCTCCCCTTGTTAGAGCTAAATGTAGACCTGTACCTGGATTCTCACAACGAAATGTGAACTGAACTGAAATAAGGTGACATCATCTCACCTCACTTGATTAAGGAAATCTCTAGATGTGGACTTCTATCTCTTTTCCCCTTTCCCCTGACTAAAATGGTAATAATGAGTTATTTTGAAACAGAATGTTGAAGATGGTCACCCCTGAGTTGTCCCAGGTCCCTGAACTCTAAATCATTGAAATTTGGTGGTTTCCTATTACAGTGGCCTAAAAAGCCCTAACTCAATCTGATTACCCCGAAATTTAATGATTTAATGACTATCTAATAGAAATAAGTCAATGGAGTCAGTGACAGGAGGGGGAGGTATGGGTCAATGATTCAGTTAAATATTCTATGATAAATAAATATTTTATCTTTAATATCTCTCTTTTATACCTAATCATTTGTTAAATGCTAATTTTTCCTATGGAATTCAAATACAAGTATTGGAATGAAGACATTCCTGAGATGTAATAACCATGTGTACCTCAGCTTACAGTGCCAGATTACTGCTTTCCATCTGTAACACATTATCTTCTCTTACACCCTACAAAGAACATAAATCCTGAGCTATCATTTTTGTTTCCCCCAAATTTGATCACAAGAAGTAGAAGGTTTTTCACTAGGAGTAATTCCAACACAAAGGACCATCCTAATGATCAAAAAGTAATAATGTCATTTAGCATCTCTGGGAATTATGTGCATCCAGTTGAGGCAGTAAAATGAATTTGAAAACATTAGAGAGGGAATGAGGCATATGAGGTTGGCAGAAACCATTAGGTGCTTCACTTTTTTTCCATTAAGAAAGCAAAGTGTGTTGGCCTCCAAAGCAACCTGAAATGGCACAGGCATATTGCCAAACTAGCAACTGAACATATTAAAAGAAAATATCATACAGAAATAAAAATATTCTACCATGAATATTGTTTTTAAAATGTCAAGCTGGGAAATACTGCAATATGAATGAGAATGACTTTTAAATATGATTAATTAATTATGCGATTAGTTGTTGGAAACTAATAAAATGTTGAACAACCTATATTAGTTGAAACAGCAGTAGCTAATGGGACTAAGCCTTCTAAGGAAATGATGCAGACCACTTAGTTCCATATTTTTTTGGCCAGAAAACAGTCAAATGGCAGAATTAAGAATTCACCAGTAGTTAGTAAGGAGAGGAAATGTAATCCAGCTATATACCCATGAGAAAAAGGATTTAGGAGGCATCCAGATACTGCTATCTATGTATTTCCTCAATGATCTTCTAAAAGAATGAAGAGATAATTGAAGATGATAATCATTAGACTTAAGTTTTTTACAGTTCAGTTAAAATTTTGGTTCAAATTTAGACCTATATAAACATAATTATATTCAATTACTTGCATTTATCCAAAAAGTAGTGTCCTTGTTCACATTTGGTATAACATTCATTTTTCAAATTTTCTGGTTATTTGATAAAAATTTAATCCTTTTAAGTATTCAAGTACTACTAAATGCATTATGACCAAGATACTGATTCTTAGAATCTCTGGGAGTTATGTGTGTACAATTGTGCATATTATTAATACACAGTAGGATGCAACAAGATTACCAAATTATCTTTATAATTCAGAATACCAAATGAACTGGGATAATCAAGGGCAATTTTGTAATTGTTAGAAAAGTTCTGAAAGATCAAAATTCTCCCACATATATCTATGTGACTGTTGCTAATTTTAGTACCACACAATTGGCTAATTTTTGTTCTCTAAGTTAACAACAACTTTATTAAGAGAATCTATTTGAAGTTAATAGTTTTATGCAGAGATGGTACAAAATGGTAAATTACACGTTGAACAACACATTTGCATTTTTAAAACACGGCATTAAGCAAAGATACTTAATAAAGAGAGTTAAATGAGCAATGCCCTGCTTCAATTTATGACCTTGGCCTGGATATTTTAGCTAAAAGAGAAGTCTAGAGGCATATTTCTATTAACAAGGAAATGAGTTCTAAATGAAAACCTACAGAAACAGTACACCACTTAAGTTTATTTAAAGAGGAAGTTTAAGCATTTTATCACTTTCTTCTTCTCTTGGAGTTTCCAAAGGTAATTAGACTTGCCGCAAGGGACTTTGAAGAACACAGATGGGAATTTTAAGTTAAAACTGTGAGCGTTTTTTTGGATTCACTTAGAAGAGTAAGTATATTTTTTTTGAGAATACCTGATCTAGATAATTTAGTGAGAAACATAGTGAGTTTATATCCGTCCTGTTCTTGAGAACTTCAAAATTAACACATTCAGTGAAGTTCTTCAAAAACAGAAAACTGTGCACAGGAGTACCCCTTTATTTATGAGGGATATACTCCAAGACCCCCACTAGAGGCCTGGAACTTCAGATGACAACAAAGCCTGTATTTACGATGTGTTTCTTTTTTTGTTTGTTTGTTTTCAATCTGATAAACTAGACTTACTAAGTGACTGATGGGCAGCCTGGATACAATGGACAAAAGAATGATTCTGCTCCAGGGCAGGGTGGCACGGGACAGCATAAGATTTCATCATGCTACTCAGAATGGCATACAATTTAAAACATGAATTGCTTATTTCTGGAATTTTCCACTTAACATTTTCTGACTACGGTTGACTTTGGGCAACAAACTGTGAAAAACGATACTGTGGATAAGGAGGGGACTATTGTATCCCATAGCAAGGAATTGGAATCCAATCCAAAGGATTGGAAGCACAGGTTACTATTTCAGAAAAAAGGAAACTAATAGATAATAATGTACATATGGGTGAGAATAATCTTTTAAAACAATTAAACAAGAATTCTTATTTGTTTTACATATGGTTTACATCTCAATGATTTACATACATGCTATAGAGGATTTTCTGGTAATTATATTACACAATTTACTTTTGTGTAGATTCTTCTAAAGGCAGATTTGTATGAAAGGATAAAACTGCTTGGTTCAGTGTGTTAAGTGTTTGCAGATGTGTCCCTCACCTACCTTAATCCTCAGTACCTTAGCTCCTCCTGTAGCTTAAAATTATTAGTTCAATCTAAGAAATTGTAAAACACTAAAATCATCCTAGAACATGATCAAGTTCTCCATTATCTGAGATATTCATTTTTAATTATCCTCAATTATTATCATCATCCAACTTTCAATTTTATTTTGGATAGACTAAACTACCAAAATATTCTGGAATTAAATGTAGACTCCCACACCCGTTATTTATATTTCTGCATATGCTGATTATTCAGTGTGGAACTTCTGTCTATATCTTTTTGGATTGATTAAACTCTACATTTCCTTCAAGATACAACTTAAAACTATGTTAATCATGTTCAAACATAGTTAAGTGTCCCTTAGGCTGCTTCCTCAATACTGTGATCTTATTTTCACCACTGTGTTCTCACAGTGTATTATATTTTTCATACAGTTATTTGTTTCCAGAGATACCAGAGAGCTTGCTTTCTCTCTCTCTCCAGGTAAGGATATGGCAAAAAGGCAGCTGCCTGTAAGACCAGAAGAGACCCTGAACCTGACCGTGTGGACACCCTGGTCTTAAACTTGGATTGTCAGCTACGAGAACAATAAGAAATTAACTTTCTGTTGTGGCCAGGCGTGGTGGCTCATGCCTGTAATCCCAGCACTTCGGCAGGCCGAGGCAGGCAGATCAGGAGGTCAGGAGATCAAGATCATCCTGACTAATGCGGTGAAACCCCACCTCTGCTAAAAATACAAAAAATTTATCAGGCGGGGTGGTGGGCGCCTGTAGTCCCAGCTACTTGGGAAGCTGAGGGAGGAGAATGGTGTGAACCCGGGAGGTGGAGCTTGCAGTGAGCTGAGATTATGTCACTGAACTCCACCCTGGGGCAACAGAGCGAGACTCCATCTCAAAAAAAAAAAAAAAAAAATAGAAAATAATTTTCTGTTGTTTAAGCCACCCCGTTTGTGGTATTTTGTTATGGCTGCGTCAGGTGACTAATACAGTATATATACAAACCATAAACTATAATATATAATATTGGCGTAAATGCATATTTTATATATATAAATGTATATGTATTATATGTGTGTATATATAGTGTATATATACACAGTACATTTATATATAAATTTATGTATACACATAGTATCACAGTATATATATAAATACACACACTACATTTATATATATGTACACACTATGTATATACACACACTATGTACACACACAAACGCACACACATGCACACATACACACTGATTAGATGGAAAATATCATTGCAGATTACATGCCAAAATTGGAAATTGAATGAAATTTTCTACCTGGCAATAATAAGAAACTAAAGGTCTATTTCTAACCATTCAGATCATTAATCAGAATTGAATCCCCAAAATATAATGTTGTATTTTAATAAGTTTGTATCAATTTTTTAAAGTATCCATTATTCATTAAACCATTACTAAAACATATTTTATACTAAATTGTCATATTAACTATTTTTAAAAATTTAAAATATATGTTAATTTAGAAATGCCAAAACCAAAATTGGAAGTCTACTCATAAATTTGTATTACATCAATTTTGAGAGACTCCTTTCAAAAATGCCCTAAACATTTTATGTACTTCAAAATCAGACAGAAATCAATACCTATATTCCTCTTGTGTGAAGCGTGGGATCTCACCAGGATGTAAGACAAGAATCTTCACTGTGGCACTGCTGGACATCACAGGCTCCCCATCATCAAAAGCCACCACCACCAACTTAAAAAGCAATAAAAATTCATGTTAAAGATTATAAATAAGAACAACATAACAGCATAATTTTTATATGTAGGTTTTTAAATATTGGATTCCCTGGTTTCAGATGGGGGAGCAATTTTTTCACTGCCTACCAGGTGGCAGACACTATGCTAGAATATACTACGTTCTCACTTAATCTTTACAATAATCCAGCCAGATAAATGTTATTATTTTCACTTGCCAGATGAGAATCCTCGAATCCTCAAAGAAGTAACTAACTCTATGATTAAAAAACAACTACCACTAAAACAAGTATATTATACGATATCTCTCCAATTAAAAGCTCATTTCCATAATTCCACTGGGGCCTACAGTAAATACACATGATTTTATAGCACTAATACACTTATTTAAAAAGTGTTAAATTCCGACACATAAAAAACTAATTAGCTTGCTCAAAAGAGAAATTAATTTTCCTAGTGAATTAGTTGTTTTCGAGATTATAGGGCAGAAATACTTTAGAAGATAAAATTGGAAATCTTTGTAGTTTAACATTCTTTGGTATACTACCTCTTAAAAACAAATTATTAGGCCAAGTTCATTTGGTATAGCAGAAATTGTTCAAATGATGAAAACTAAGAAAAAGCTTCAGTATTGAGGTGTGATGTCTGATATTATTTATCACTGCAATAGAATTTATAATTGATTTTCTTTAATAACCTATATTACATCAAAGCAATTCTATGTTTACTTTAAGATATGTTAAATACTTTCAAAACTATGTGGTTCTCTGAAATATAAATTCTTTTGGAATCTGCAGGTTAATAATGTAAACTAATTCAACCTAGATCACAGAACCATCCTGGATCTCAGGATCTCATCCTGAGAGCCACAACTGACCTTTGGGTTAATGCTAATTTACAAACTGATCAGCTGTTTCAAACAGTGGTAAAATCATGAGAGACACAGTGCTCACTGATACTGACGTGGTTAACTGATAAAGCTATTTCCCTACTATAGAGTCAAACGCTTTATTCACAGTAACGAAAATTATTCTAAGTAACTATTATAAATGGAAATGTTCAAACACTTAATAAAATTGTCTACTTATGGTAATGCAAAATATGTTTTTAATACCTTGCCAGGTAGAAACAGGCATTATTTTGTCAAATATATTTTTAAATATGTAAAAAACAAAAGTGTGAATATGTTCTGTTTCATTAGTTTTTGAAGAAAAGTAAAATTTGACAAAAATCAAATAGATATAGATATTTTCCAAGATATATGCAAAGATTAACATAACAACATCCAACTGTTGAGTGGTATTAGGAAAATGGATACTCTCAGGAAAGATAAAGAATGCATAGAAAGGGTTATTTTTTTTCAAGTTTTCTAGAATTATATCAAGAGTACTTATCTTAAGAAAAAAATGAGTAAGGGAAAAATGATACTCATACACATAGTTGCAGGATAGCATTTATTATAACAAAAAATGGAAACAGTCTAATTGTAAAGCAACTCAATATTATATTAAAAAGAAAAATATAATGTTATACTCATATAGCAAAATACTATGAAACCACTAAAATAACAGCATTAATGTCACTTATTGGCATAGACAATATAATATTGAATTTAAAAAGCAGTATGTATAAGACTATGTGATTTGAATACATATATTTATATATTTGTATTTGTATGAAATGTCATCATGAGGATAGAGATCAAAATTGCAAATTCTGGCTGTCTCTAAGATGTGAGATACCAAGAGGTTTTCTTTTTACTATTTTGGAAGTTTCTAAGAAAAAAAAAATTGTAATTTAAAAAAATTAGAAAGGAGAAAAATTGAAATAAAAAAATGTGCTGTCATCTGTTAGGCCAAATTCTCTATCAAAAATTAAACATCAAATAGACTACATAATGAAAAGAGACACTGACCTTAAAAATTGTTGTAGGTTCCTCATTAAGATTGACTCGTGTTACTACTCTTCCAGAATCTTCTTCCACATCAAAAATACTGGCAGGGTAAGGAAACTGGACATCATCTACTCTATACCTCACACGACTTGCAGGTAATCCCTAAAATAAAATTATTACTTATTAATTTGCTGTCACCAAGTTAAAACAAAGTGTAATCATAACATTAAATGGATTTTTAAAATTCATGGTCTTTCAGAAGTGAAAATCGTATTTCCATAATTTCATTCTTTCAGGATTGAAATGTAGCCAGATCATTATTTCTTCATGATAACTCAATCTGAATCAAAGAAGTATCTCTACTACAGGTTATTTTAAAATGATTTATATGAGGGAAAAATTAATGGTTGCTTTGGGCATCTTCTCTACCACTTTCCTTTAATTATGTGAATTACATCTGCCTCTCAAGACAACCAATATCTCCTTTTTTAAATTCAGAGACAGGGTCGTTCTTTGTTGCCCAGGTTGAACTGCAGTGGCATCACCATAGTTTCCTGTAACCTCAAAATTTCCAGTTTCAAGTGTTCCTATCCCACTCTAGCCTCCCAAGTAGCTGGGAATACAGGTGTGTGCTACCATGCTTGGCTAATTTGAGAGGACTGTGGTAAAGTCCAGGAATGGGCATGAAAGCTAAAAAAACAAAAATTAGTTACCATCTACACTGTGTTGATTACAATGCTAGGTATTTCTATACGTCATTAAATTAATGCTCAATCCTTTAAATTACATTAATAATGAAGATGATAGTAATAATGGGTAAGTTAACGATCGCTAACAATTGCTAGATGCTTACCGTGTGCCGCAACCATAGTAATGATGATGTATGTGTACTCTGTTACCCATGTTAGAGCTAATGAACTTGTGGCTTACAATAAGTTAAAGAATGCTGAAATATTCCAGGTATAGGCAAGATAAGTTGGAACACCAAAGTATTTCACTTTTAAAGAAAACAATTAAAATTTGAATTAAAATTTGGTAAGATATTAAAAGAATCAAAGTGATGATAAAGGAACAGTCAAAACTTTGCTGGCTGTCCTCACTTATATTAGGTTTTAGATTGGTTTCATTTGGAACTACATAGGGTGACACTGAGGTGAGCATTATAACATTTACAGTGCTTAGGCCTCGTGAATGTCTTAAGAACTAGAAGTCAAATAAATATCTTGAGCAGAGAACTAGTATGTGGTAAAGTTTGACTTCAAACCTAAACACTAAATTACAATATTAACTTCTTCAGAGAAAGAAACACTTCTATTTGGCATTATTCTGATGCAGAAAAAGCAAGAACATTATCCCCACAGGGTGTTGATTTGCCTGGACTTGACACTTTGGTGTAAAAACAGTTTGGAGAACGTTGTTTTTTATATTGCCATTTTCTTCATGCCTGTCCTTGAAAATAATCTGTTGCTCATGTTGGTTCATGAATTACAGTTGGGCTATGAGATAAGTATGTGAATCTTCAGTATTTGTATAATTCCTTATTTTCTGTAAGTTCAGTCCTTTCATATACTACACATCACCACTGATCACTGTCTCCTTGAATACATTCTTTGTTTAACTTTTTTCCACTCTTCTGCCTTTTCTCCTTCCCATCTGGTGCTCTGTCTCAGACTTTTTGCTTGTTCTCACTCTTTCTGGCTACTAAATGCTGGAGTTTTCCAAGGCTCTGTTATGAGAACTTCTATATTTTCTACTTCTACTCTTGGCCCCTGGAACCTCTCCCAGTCCAATAGCTTCAAATATCCTCTATTTGTTCATGAATACCAAATTTTAATATCTGGCTAAACTCTGAACCTTTTAAGTCCAAACTTGGACATATAATTGTCTGCAGATATGCTATTTTCAAATAAACATATTCAAAACCAGAATGATTTCATCTCCCAAATTTATAACTCTTCTACTATAGATAATGGCTCTACCTTTTACTAAGGTGTTCTATTTGAAAGCCTAGGGGTAATCATTGATCCTTTCTCTTAAGACCCATAGCCAAATAATCATCATATCCTGCCAGTACCTCAATGAATATATGCCCTAAGGTCTACTCATATCCTCTGTATTTTCTGCAGTAGACTCTTAATTGACTTTCTGCTTCAATTCTATTACAATTATCTCATGACTCCTGCTCAAACCCCTCCAATGATTTTGCATCTCACACACACACAAAATAAATACAAAGTTGTTAGTATGGGCAATCTGATCCTAAAAACATTTAATTTTTGCCTGCTCATCTGATTTCACCTTGCTCATTTCTCTTTCACACATTTCCCTTGTTCCTGCCTCCTTGGCTTTGCCAAGGCAATAGTCCTTTACTAGGAAAATAAGGTAGCAATATAATACACGCATTTCACAAATTGTTGGCTAATACATTTACCCTCCTCTTCTCCAGGCATTCTCTAATACTCCCACTAAATTATCTTTCTTCAGCAACACTGTCTGAAATTATAGCATATATTTTATGTATTTACTTGTTTACTGTTTGTCTCCCACATAAGAATACAAGCTTCATTATGGTAGGGACTCTAGCTGAGTACCTTGAATATTACCTGACCCATATATGTATTCAAGAAGTATTTGACTGAATGCATAAATAGGTGAATGGATAACCACATATCAAGGGTGCCCAGACACTTCAACTGATATCTAAAGTATTCATATATTTCAAGGTTTGGGAAATAGAAAACATTGAATACACCTTGAAAGCATGTTAGGGAACTGTCAGTTCTGGGATAATATTTTTATATAAACCACTGATTTCACCTAGTGGTGGATGGTCAGTTCACCCACTGAAGATGTATAGAAACAAGGGCATTTTTTTAAGAAAAACTTTTGCCTATTTGGACATAATCAGACTTATTATAATCATACACAATGGCTAACCTTGTGTATGACTTGCCTGAGAAATAGCGGGGGTTTAACAGAACACATTGTAGGACTTGGGGCACAGTGTTATGCAATGTCAGCAACTTTGCTTGCATTTTAATAATAATGATAATAACAAGAGTTGTTAGCTATCAGTTTGAGTGTTTCACTATGTATCAGACTGTATGTATTACATGCATTTTCATACTTATGATAAGTTCAGAAGTTGGTATCAATAGTACCTACATTTTTTTTTTTTTTTTTTTTTTGAGACAGAGTCTTGTACTCTCGCCCAGCCTGGAGTGCAATTGTGCGATCTCTGCTCACTGCAACCTCCACCTCTTGGGTTCAAGTGATTCTCCTGCCTCAGCCTCCCAGGTAGTTGGGACTACCGGAGACCGCCACCATGCCCTGATAATTTCTTCTATTTTTAGTAGAGACGGGTTTCACTATGTTGGCCAGCCTGGTCTTTAACTCCTGACCTCGTGATCCGCCCGCCTTGGCCTCCCAAAGGGCTGGGATTACAGGTGTGAGCCACCACGCCCAGCCCTACTGCCTGTATTTTTAAAATAATAAAATCTAGGCTTTAAGAATTATTTTCTGAAATTTCCTTAGCTGGAAAATGGCAAAGTTATTACTCGAAGAAACTTGGCTCACACTAAAACAGAGGTTTTTAACATCAAATCAACTTAACATTTTTTCAATACTATCTTAAAGGCAATAGTCCTTTACCAGGAAAATAAGGCGGCAACATAATTGAGCAAAATTACTTGGCAAAGATACTATAGAATTTGATGCCCTAGTAAATCTTGCCTTAGAACACTTTCTAAGAGGTTATGCAGCACATAATCCAAGTCACCTCCAGAACAGGAGGTCAATGATGAAAAAGCATAATTATAGCACCCACTGTTTCAAGAACAAATTTTTAGAGTTTTTGCTAGCATGAGGACCCATTCGGTCTGTAAACAGTGACTAAAATTACTTATGACAATCACAGATTGGCTCTCGAAAACATAAAATAAGTTAATTATACTTAGAATCTTCTTTTTAATAAAGCCAACATATTTGTAATGCATATGGAATTATGTCTGTAATTGATAAAATGAAAAAGAAAACATGCTGGTATTATGGAATATTATCTCTCAGATGCCTAAAATAGTTTCCTATCCAGAACATCTTAGAACTTCCTGGATGATTTTTACAGATAAGATTGTATGTATATAAATATGAACATATGACTAAAATAGTTTGCTATCCAGAAAATCTTAGAAGTTCCTAAATGATTTTTACAGATACGACTTATGTATATAAATATGAACATACATGTTACATAGTGACTATATCAATAAACTTTTTATTCTAAGATTGCTATTATTCTATAGATTACCACACCATCATGAAAGTGTGGCCCTGATAGGATTCAGTTAGCCTACAAGAAACATTTTGATTCTTTTATCACCCATGTTATCAAAGTACCACATTTTGTTTGATATCACATATTATGATAACTAAATAACTAAAATGATGTAGAATTTCCTTTGAAAATATTTTAAAATTTTTTTCTCTCTCTGTCCTTTCCTACTATCTTCCTTCTCTTCTTTGCTTCTTTTTGCTTTCCCTTCCTCCCTCCTTTTCTTTCTTTACTTGTTTCCAAAGTCTTTTTAAAATAGTTGTATAATTACACTGTATAATAGGTAAAGGTAATTAGCTTTGGGAAACAGCTCTAGTACTAACATTATTTCTGGGAAATTTACAACATGAATCAAGTCAAATTCACTGTTTTAATAAATCATAAAAATAGCTGTGGCTTTAATCTTGGAAAAACCTTTCATTTTGAAACCCAGAATTTCAAGTACTCTAAAAAAAAGTTATAAAGTTGATCACTTAAAATTACTAATAATTAGTATTTATTAAATATCCTTTAATACTTGATTCCACTAAAATATAATAGATATGATCAATGTATTCTAACGTATAAAACTCACTCTTATTGGATATGTTTTAAAAACTAAAATAACATAGTAAATGAGTTTATGAATTATATATCTTAATTATGATATATGTGACACAAATATTTAAGTCATTCATATATATATGTATATATATATTTTAAAGACAGGATCTTGTGCTGTCACCCAGGTTGATGTGCAGTGGCACGATTATAGTTCACTGCAGCCTTGAACTCCTGGGCTCACGCAATCTTTCTGCCTCAGCCTCCCAAGAGGCTTGATATGGTTTGGCTT